GGGTGTATTAATGACCATTTGGGGTCATCTTTTGGGATGTATTAATGACCATGATGGGATCAATTTTTGGGCTGTTTAATTGACCATTGTGTTACAGGGCTTGCTGCCAGCTGGGTGAGGAGCTCAGCAAGCTCTCCCCATCCCCTGGGCATTGGGAAACAGGGAAAAGCCAGATCTCCACTGTCACCTCTGCCTGCCCAAGAGTTCCTGCAATGATGGGTGAGCCCATCCTGTTAATCCTGCCCCAGATTCCCATTCCTGCCAGGCCAGGGCTGCTCACCACATGCGGCGCTGCCCTTTGGGGTCCACGCTCACGGAGGGCTCATCCCAAAGCATCACTGCTGGGCCTCCCAGGATGCTCAGAGCAAATGACAGCTGGAATGGCAACAACATCAGGTCAGGGCTCCTTAATTTACCTGCAAAACTGGTGCACCTTGATCCCCATGAATTTTTCAAAGATGAAGCTCTTGATTCCGAAGTACAAAAGGAACAGGGATTTAAAAAAATCCCACTTCAGGTGTTCTCAGTTAATGTTTTAATCTCTCAAAATCAGATTTCCCCAGAACTCCTGAGCCTACCAAAGATGTGAAAGTGAAGTGGTTTTCCATCCCATTTACTGGAAGATGTAGGTGGTGGGGCATGAAGAGGTGATTGTAAATCCAATTTGTGGTCAGCACTTAAAGGATGGCAAAAGGGGGTGAGGAGGAGGGAGGGAATCCTGCCAGCATGGATTCAAAAGGTATTGATGAAAATGAATGATGCCAGGAACCCACTCAGCTGAAGGTTTCCTCTGTACCACGTCCAAGAAAGAGTGAGCAGGGCTTGGGGAAGTAGCAAAGACAAATCCAACACGCACCTTTCTGGCTTCTCCAGCAGATAAACTCCTTGCTGGGGTCTTGAAATGCTTCAGGAGATCCAAGGTCCTTCCTATGCTGTGGGGAATGGAAAGGGAAAAGCCCCAAATTACCATCTTGGTGTGCAGCCTCTGTGTCAGGGGAGCTGAGGAACACTGACATATTTTGGTTGATATCCATCACTTTGGGTTACTTGGGGATTCTGCTCCTAACTTGGATGTTAAATTGAGGAATTTTTGCAGAAATTCAAGGCAAGAAGTACAGCTAATGAGAGAAGTGAGTTACTCATGCAACTACCCATGAACTGAGACAAGTTTGATTTTTTTTCTGAATATTCCCAGGTAAACTTGTGTTACAATCTTCATAGGCAACGGACTGAGAACAGTATAAAACACCAGACCCCATCAGGAGAAGCCACGTCTCTAAGGAGAGGCATTGAAGACGTTGTCTCTTAACCACACGAGTCAGTTTTGTTAACAGAGAAACCCTTCCCCACCCTATAAATCACAGAGTGATTGGGCTGGTGTGGAAATCAGAAAAACAGAAACTTCCTCAGACACTGAAGGATTTAATCTACAGCCTTGGAAGAAGCTTAGATTGATGCAAAAATACAACGCACAGATATTAAGCAGAAAAATAATAAATTTATATTTCTATAGCTGTAGGTGAGAGTATGCCTTAAGTAAGTGAGAAACTGTATTGATAAGATGGTGAAGGGTTTATAATAAGGGTGGGATTGTATGGAATAAGCTGAGAGCTTAGAAGTTATAACTGAAGCATTTGTGTGCCTGTGAGACAGAAGCCATTAGACAAAAGTATCTGCACTGCAGCAGGATTAGTAACGGTGTTAGATTAGAAAAGCAAAATAAAATTCTATAATATAATAAATAAATGAACAGTGGCAACTGTCCATTGGTTTAGAAAGTTCTAGATTGCTTTGTAATGAACAAACTTGCAGCTACTCTGGAACTATGGCCAAATGCTTGCTCCTGTAAAATCTCACGGCCTCTGAGATTGATGTTTATCTGAGCAATAAATCATTCCTAGCTTGAAAACAGTCCCAACCCTTCATTTCCAGCAGCGACAGACAGGCTGGAAGGCTCCCCACCTCAGGAGGGAGGCAGAACCAACAGATGAGATCATTTGGCTTCCTACCAGCTGATGGCAAGGGCAGCATCTTCCTCCCTCATTCCCCTGATGGCAGTGAAGGCCTCCAGGTGCTGCAGCACGGTCAGGTGTGGCCAGAGAGGGTCCTGCTGGGGGCACCAGCCCAGGGACCCCGGGCATGGGGGGGCTTCATCCTGGCCCCTGAGCAGCACCTGCACAGACACACAGCTCTGGTTGTGGGGTCACACAGTCACAGGGGGCTTATTTGGCTGGAAGGTACCTTAGAGTTCATCCTATCCCACGCCTACCGTGGGCAGGGACATCTCCCACCAGCTCAGGCCCCCAAGCAGCACCTGCACAGACACACAGCTCTGGTTGTGGGGTCACACAATCCCTGTGGTTTGCAGAGATCTCAGAGCTCATCCTATCCCACCCCTACAATGAGCAGGACATTTTCCACCAGCCCAGGGCCCCCAGGAATGGGGGAACTTCATCCTGGCCCCTGAGCAGCACCTGCACAGACACACAGCTCTGGTTGTGGGGTCACACAATCCCTGTGGTTTGCAGAGATCTCAGAGCTCATCCTATCCCACCCCTACAATGAGCAGGACATTTCCCACCAGCCCAGGGCCCCCAGGAATGGGGGAACTTCATCCTGGCCCCTGAGCAGCACCTGCACAGACACACAGCTCTGATTGTGGGGTCACACAATCCCTTTGGTGGGGGGTATCTCAGAGCTCATCCCACCCCATCCCTACAATGGGCAAGGACATCTTCCACCAGCTCAGGTTGCCCCCGGGCATGAGGCAGCTTTATCCTGGCCCCTGAACAGCACCTGCACAGACACACAGCTCTGATTGTGGGGTCACACAATCACAGGGTGCTTTGGCTTGGAGTTATTTCAGAGTTCATCCCACCCCTTCCACCAGCCCAGGTTGCCCCAAGCCCCGTCCAAGTGGCCAAGGCAAGCAGTTGTGTGGTCAGCAGCCAATTGAGTGGTCACCCTCCACGACAGGGTGATCCTGCTCCATCTGCTTTTTCACTTTGGGTGATATTACCAACACCAGCCTGTCCTTTCCTAGTAATACTTTTCTATTTCCAACCTTCAGTCTCAAATCTGTAAGAGCAATGGCATTTCTCCTCCCCCAGCACATGCCATTAATCATTCTGCACGCAATTAATGATGGATTGTCACTGGCCACACGCTGCTCACATTTGTTTTCAGTTTCCTGGTTTTGCAAGGCTGTTTATGGAGAGTGTTATTTTTGGGGTTTTTTAGATGTCAACAATTCTTACAGGGCTCGAGACATTTCACAATGGGTTTCCAATGCCAGCTGAAGATTTCCTGTTGCTCAGACTCTTAAATCTGTAACACTGACTTTGATGAACACTACAATTTATGCTTGGCATAAATCAACACTTTTTTTCTCAGCTCTGTAAATATCCAGGACACATAAATTATACATAAACATCCATATATCCCCTGATAGTAGGAAGATTTTGCTGGCTTGCCTTATCACATTCTTAATTTATAAATGCATCAAGGTCAATTCTGCAGCTGCTCCAGGGAGCCACCTACCTCCCCAGCAGTCACTGCTACACCTCCAGAAATCATGTTCAGAGTTGTGCTTTTCCCAGCTCCGTTGGGTCCTAGCAGACCTAAGACTTCTCCTGGAACAAATATGCAACAACTGTTAATAATATTTATTGGTAATATGACTGCTCCCCTGTGTTCTATGTAATATTTAGAAGTACAGTAGCAGAAAGGGTTGTTTTATCCCCATAAATTAAAATTTTGAATGCAGGAGCCCAGAGTGCCAGGTCTCAATGCCCACAAGAAAATTCTAACAAAAATATTGCCTCCAAACAAAACTTTCAATTTAGATTTTAGTATTTATATTATAGGAAGTGCAGAAAAGTACTTGAACCTTTTTTAACACCAAAAGAGAGGTTTTTGACAGCAAGTTTCTTCCCTTTCTTAAAGATGGAAGTGGCTGTCTTGACTTCGTATTCCTTGCGCAAACCATTGACAACAACCAAGTCCTGTGAAGAGACAGAGAGGGAAATAAAAATTCTCCTCCTACCCCACAAGACAGCTGATCTCTTCTTACCATTAAGCAGGACTTTGAAAAAGAGAAAATTTCTAAATTAAAAAGCCATGAAACAGAGGTTAAAAAATAAAAAACCAAAACAGGAAAGTATGCAGGATGGGAATAAAAATTATGGGGCCAGTTAAAGTCCTTGTGGTGCCACCGTGGGCTGGATGGCGAGATCACATCTTCCCGGGATTTCTGCTGGTCAGAGTGACTCTGAGATATATACAGTCTCTTTTCTATCTGTTCTCATTCTCAAAATTGTTTATTGTTTCTTATTTATATAATTCTTTTTCTGACTCGCCGAGGTCTGTCTGCCAGGTCGGGTTGAGGCACACTGACCACCCCCAGAGGCAGTGTTGTCTTTTTAATGTAATTAATTACAATAACTTCTTAATACTTATCACTAATGTTAGACAGTGAGTTTCTACCTTAAATTAATCTAAAAGTGCCAACATCACTTAAAACACGGAGGCTACAAAGAAGAAAGAAGGAGGACAGGGCATGCTCAAATTCTTCTATATTGGGACTTCGAGCACCCTTTCTAAAAACCTCAAAATTCTACTTTTCACCTTGTGATAAACTAACTATCATCCTACTTAAACTTTTGGGGTTTGCAGATCTTCAGATAAGGTTGGTAATTTGCTCCATGGGTCAAAACCAAAGGCACAGNCGCCTCGGGCAGGGACTGCGTGCACAGGATGGCTGCCCGCTCCCTGCTCCGCATGGAGGCCTCCAGCATCCTCCTGCCAACACAGGGACCACAGTCACCTCCTGGCAATGGCCACGGGAAATATCCCGGCTCCTTTTTCTGCCTCTGCCAAGGTGGGGATTGAAGCGCTACACACAGTATTTCGTGTTCAGGTTTAGGTGTTTGGTATTTCTTGTCTATATTAAAAGTCATCAGTTCTACACCATTCTACTAACAGGATACACAAAAGCTAGCTATCTTTCTATACAAGGTCTTATGAAGCCAAACTGTCCAATTAAGGAATGACACCTAAATTATTTTCACTTTTAACGCAGTAACTAATCACTTGAAGTCTGCAATGCAGACTTTTCTGTCCAATTGCACAAAACCACCCAAACCCATGGAGAAGAAAGAAGAAAAAGGTGAAGAAGAAGGAGAAGAAGGTAAAGAAGAAAAATGTGAAGAAGAAGGAGAAGAAGGTGAAGAAGAAGGAGTAGCTTCCACCCTAAAACCTCCACCTTGCTCTATATCTATTACTATATTCTAAAACCTCAAACTCTAAGTTTTCCACCCTGTGATATTACAAACTTCTAATCAAACTCTACACCCATAATCCCAGGGTTATCAATCAATTTTGGAAGCTTCTCCACAGCCTCAGGCCAATTGCAGTATTTTCTTGTGGGTCTGTGCCCTTCAGCACAGAAAGTTTAAAATTCTCAGCATCCAGGGCTCCAACACTGGTCTATATCTCCCTCCATAGAAACAACTTTTAAAAGTTATTAAAATGCAGAGATCTATTTAAAAGACCTCAGTTTTCTTATTTAAAGATGACCTGGATGCCACTGCTATGTTGTAATTTGTCATGTCAGCATTCCTCCAAATTTTGCACTGATGAAAAGCTGAAGCAAACACCAGCCCTGAATGACTCAAGGGAGAACTTCCTACAAATTCTTCCCTTGCTCTGAAGAAAACAGAAATTTGGGCTTTTGTACTGAATGCATGGGTTCAGCTGGTGCCTACTGAGATTTTTTGGGGTGCATTAATGACCATGATGGGTTCATTTTTTGAGGTGTATTAATGACCATGATGGGTTCATTTTTTGGGGTGTATTAATGACCATCATGGGGTCATTTTTTGAGGTGTATTAATGATCTTTATGGGGTCATCTTTTGGGCTGTATTAGTGACCATGATGGGGTCATTTTTTGGGGTGTATTAATGACTATTTGGGGGTCATCTTTTGGGTGTATTAATGACTATTATGGGGCCATTTTTTGGGTGTATTAATGACCATTTGGGGTCATCTTTTGGGATGTATTAATGACCATGATGGGATCAATTTTTGGGCTGTTTAATTGACCATT